CCCTGAGCCGGTGAGATTTGAACCGCTGACCTGCTGATCTAGCAGTAGCCTGCAGTGCTGCATTTAACCACTGCGCCACCTTGGCTCTTATACATGAGTAGTTTCTCAACACAAAATTTACTACAAGGAATATTCAAGTGCCTTCTCAGATTCCAGTAGCAGACAGGATGCTGAAGTTCTCAAATTTTGCTATTCACAGGAACTGGCCTAACAGCAGTTATATTCTTTGATTATCCCTTTGACGAAATCTGATTGAAAGGCTTTTTATGTAACAAAGTTCTGAAAGAAACATAAAATAATTATGTTTCACTGACTTTGAAATTTTCTGCTTCTTCCAGAGCAGGGATCTTATCTGCCAAGATAAATATACTGTAATATATGCAATAATTGAAATGTGTGTTCATTTTCCTGGTAAGCAATGCAATTATCATAGAAAGAGTATAGCCTTATTCAGGGGTCCGCAAACTTGGCAACTTTAAAACTTGTGGAGTTCAACTCCCAGAATCCTCCAGCCAACAGATTGGAGACGCTCTCTTTAATGGGCTCGCTCTGAGTTTGTATTATCTCTAACATTTAAAATGTGGCGCCCATCGCTCTCCCCTTTCTTGCCTGGGCGGAACCTTTGCGGCGAGTGACGTAAACGGGCGGAGGGAGTTTCTCGTTGCTCGCGGCCACGGCAGAGGGGGGCAGGGGTCGGCATGGCAGCGGGGCATCTGCAGCAGTTCTGGGGGTCGGCGGGGCTCAGCCTGTCCCGCGGAGTGCTGATGAGTCGCTTCGCTGCTCTTCGGCCTCTCGGCCTTTTGGTCCCGCCGCGGCCTAGGCCGCTAGTCATCGGGATCCGCGGGCTGGCAGACGAGAGTGGTCTGGGCGAGAACCCTTTCTTCGAGAAATACCGAACTAAGATCCAAGAGCTTCGCAGGTATAAGGCAGCGCCGAGGAGCCGGGCGCCGTTATTTGTGCTTAATCCCTTTTTTGGGGGGTGGGAAGAAGTGGGGATCTGAGAGTAACCTTGAAGTGGCAGCCCTAGGAACGTCCTTTCTTTGCCCGCCTTTCCCTGCATGCCTCCCAAAGGCTTTCGAGGCATTTACACGCATTCAAGTAAACAAGTCCAGGGTCGAGCTATATATCCCGCATTCGGGTTTACAGCAAAGCTTCAGGTCAAGCCTTACTCGTGTGCATGCAAGCTCTTCTGGTTTGGGGGCTGCTATAAATACACAGTAGATTTGCTTCCACAAGTCTTCTGGTGAAGCTGGTCTCTGACGGATATTTAGAGTAAATATCATCCTGCTGTCATCCTGCCCTACTTTTTAATAAGTTACCAAGACAAAGTATGGTAAAGAGGTCACACATTTTTGGTATATGATAAAGGAGGTCACACACTTTTGAGGCTGAGGTGTTATCTGTGTGCAGTAGTTATAAACTCTTCTAATTTTGATTCAGATCCAATCCAGATCTTTTTGAATCTCGCATGGAGCAAAAGAAAGATTTGAAAAAGCAGCCAGTGGGATTCTCAAAACAGGCAGAGTTTGTCAGATGCATGGAGGAACAGGCAAGGCTGATATCAAATATTTCATGTTTAGTGTCTAATCCAATACATATTTTATTAACCATCAGAGGAAATCAGGGTTAGAAAACACTTTTTGCTATATGGAAGAAAAAAATCCTGACTCTTGTTTCCACTGTGTGCCTGTGTATATGGTTATGCATGTATTTCAACTGTACAGAAATAGATTAAACTTTTTTTTCTGTTTTTACTAAACATTCCTTTATATTGAATAGAGGCATGTATAGTCACAGTTGGATCCTTTATCCCTTTTTTTGTTAAAGTAAGGCTTCAAAAAGGAGGCCCTCTTGCAAAGAAGACTAGTAATTAAAATTTGAAATTTTAATTTGAAATTTGTTTGGACATTAAAAATAACAAAAATATTAAGATCTATCTTAATAGATCTATCTTTTGGATGCATGTTTGATATGTACATATAAACATACATACACACGCACCTTTTATGTTTTCAGATTTACTCTAGTATATACAGGAAGGATGCATTGAGTTTGAGAAAATACATTAATATCAGCAGCATAATCTTTCTCTCCCTCATTGCTTTCTGATTGAATGGAATACAGGTTATTTCAAGATTTGGGACAGCCTTATATTAAAGTGTAGAAGTATTTTCCAGAAATAACTATGTCAACCAATAGGCTTCATCTCAAAATTAACTCATGTCTTCTACTGATACAAAACTAATTTCTAATTGAAAATCAATTGTATTTTACCCAGTCCCTTGACTTTGCACTTCAACCAGTTATATGTTATACGTGCCTCCTTGAACTATTCTGAAATCTAAGACAAAATGCTTAACTCTAGAAAGATTATAACAACTTTCATGGTGCTAATTCTAAATTAGTCTTAATATTTAATTTTAGACTGCAAAAGCAGGAGAAACTAAAGCAGGATTCACAAAAAATAAGGTAAATTATATTTTAATTAAACCTATTTTTTACTCTTATTTACAGTGCCTATTTTGTGAATGGTGTATTAGATTAGGGATCTAGATCTATCTGAGGGATTTTTCATAAGATGTGTTATAGAAAATTCTGTCATTGGCATCATTTAGCTTTTGATAAGCTATCATGGATATGCTTTCTTTCATCCTGAGAACAGGGCACTGGATTTGATGTTTATTTTATATAGTAATTTGCTATTGAACCAGCATAGTAGAGTGACTAAGGTCTTGGATTTTTCATATTGGGAAATGAGAAATGTGAGAATATTCTGGATTTTACCAATAAAGAATATTTGTAGCTCAGGGTTTGAATGAGGAGTCTTTAGTGCTCTCTGAACTTGTTTTTTCCCCAGACATTTCGTTACTCAAACTAGGTAACATCACCAGCACTGATGATGTTACCTAGTTTAGGTAATGAAACATTTTGCAAGAAAACAAGCAAGCAAGCTCAGAGAGCACAAAGGATCCCTCATTCCGGATGTTGCAAAAGGCAATATTTTCTACTGATCAAAGGATGCAAGGTTATATATTACTGTGGCAGAGATTTTGTAATATTTTACAATTTTGTACAGATTATATTATAGTAATATATTTATTAGTAACCTTAGAGCTATTGGTAACTATAAGGTATAGAGATTTTTTTCCTCTTTTTTAGTTTTTTGGAGCTGTCTTATTCCTATTTTTATTTTGCTTTGTTATTTATTTATTTTTAAGTTAAGTTTAAATATTGTTTTACTAATTATTTATTATAAGAATGTAAAATAAAAATTTACAAATAAGTTGAATCTAGATTGGTATGGACCCTTCCCATTCATCAATCCAATGGTTGATTTTTAGCTATTTTGAACAATGGTTGATTTTGAGTTTGCTTTCAACCCGCCTTTCCTCCAGATTGTTGTTGTTGTGGAATAAATGTATGAGACACCCAAATTCATACCACATTGAACTATCAGATAAAAGGTAAGATATAAATTCTATAAATTAGATAACTATTATTAGAAGTGGAGAAACTTTTTCCCAGTTACATTGTATGTGTCTTAGCCTACGAGGAAACAATGTTTGTTTAGTTTCTTCTTACATTGATGACTTAGAGTGCAAACTTTATGTTTTATAATTTGTTTCAGACACTTGATTCTATTCTTAATGTTGAGATGATGAAACAGAAGAGGCCTGAAGAAATAAAGCAGGTGATAAAAATGGAATCCTTAAAAGGACATTTTGTGTAACTTTTAACATTTTTAAGTTAATGAAACCTGTTCTTTGTTAACTTTTGAACAGCAAACATTTACAACATTGAAGTCCTGTGTTCAGTGCTGTTGCTCATATTTATTTGTTTGGTTGTTTAATTAATTTATATTGCCACCTATTCGCACATGGAGACTCAAGGCAGCTTATACAATATAAAATCTCATTTAAAATAATAAAACTAATAAAAAAGAATCAAATAAATTAATATAATATAATAAAATCACCCCCACCCATCCTGCCCTGACGACAGCAGATCACACAAACCATTTAATGGGGTCCATCCTGCTCTGGGTTCCCCTGGCCCGCTGTTAGAATCAGGTCTTCAGCACCTTACAGAAGAGAGTTAGAGTGGGGGCCATTTTAATCTCTGGGGGAATGATGGTCCAGAGAGAGAGAGCCACCACAGAGAAGGCCCTTCTACTAACTCCCACTAGGTGTATCTCCCTAGGGGATGGGACCCGCAGCATTCCCTGCCTCCCCGCTCTGATGGATTGGTTAGATGTGACTGGCAAGAGACTGTCCATCAGATAACTTGGTCCCAAGCCATGAAGGGCTTTAAAGATGACAACCAGCACCTTGAATTGTACCCAGAAGCAAATCAGTTAGCTTCCTGAATGCAGATTGTCAAGTCAGCCTCCCTCAGCAACCAAGAAAGAAACCACTTAATTCCATTTTGCAGAATTAAGAGTACTTTTACTAGTTATGAAAAGGTAACAGCTAAGCAAAGCAAGATCTGAGGCAAAAGCGCGCGTAATCATAGATATCAATATGTGACCCAACCCCCTCCCCCTGGTAACCCCATCCCTAGTCCAATCTGCAAATCCCTCAGGTGTCATGTGAGTTCCATCTTCAAAAAACATCATCAGGTTGGTATGCAGGACAGTTGGCCTTGGCGGGCCCATCCACTATCTCCAGCATGCGCAGTAGATGGTGAGAACAAAACTCCATTTTCACAATCTCTCCTGTACTTAAAACTTCCCTTCCCAAATATCATGCCTCCTGCTCCCCGTTTCAATGGCAGCTGAAAGCAAGTAGAGAAACAGAGGCTGACAGAGATACTTGCTCTGACAATTTAACAATACCATAATTTGTCTTGTGTATGAATTGTCCTTTTATATTTAAAGTCTGTAGATTAGTCTACAGTCTTATCTAATCTTAAAGAGACATATATATGCACAGTCCCTCTTGTATGACATAGTGAAGTCCTTTGGTTGTGATAGAAACATGAATTAATATAGTCATATTAATATATTAATTTGAATTTATAAATAAATAAATATTGGGGTTTTTTTAAAGCCCAGAGCTTATTTCCATGCAGGATAATGAGGAGAAATCAATTCCCATATATTTTCCCTCGAAATCCTATTTGAAGAATGGGTTCCTCTGCATGGTGAAATAAGATGATGATGAACTTTTTAAAAATATGCCCAGACCAGAGGTTTTTGTCCAAGCCAGTTCCTTAGAGTTCATCCTTACATCTTTTAGGACTGAGTAAAAATCTTCTTAGAATGAAAATCCCACTGAAATCAACTCGCAGTTATCCTACAGACCTCTTTAGCTTTGTTATATGTTTCATTTAGTAAGTTTTGGTTATTTTTCTTACTAGTTTTGACTATCTGAACCTTAAATAGAGACATGAGTGAAAAAAAACCTGGATAACTTTCCAGTTTGGCTGTTGGACTGGAAACAGCACCAGTAAAAACCAGTAAATATTTCAATTGAGAGATCATTTTAGTAATATTGTGTGACTAAAGTTACTGCACTGAATTGAGATTCTTTTGATTTCCATTCACTGTCTTTGAAATAATTGGCACAATCCCTTTTATCCAGATATGGAAGCAGTATTTTTCTGGAGAAGACACAGTTTATGCTGTTATTCCTGTAAGTAAAACAGTAATTTTCCCCATCCCAACTTCTCTCCTGTTTAACTTAGTGGAGCCTTCAGAAATTAAATTACATATTGCTGAATGTGCTGAAACAGTTTGCAATTAATATTCAGGAGTTTGATCACTTGCTATCATTAGAAACCACCTCAAGTGGTGGATGATGGGGTGTATTTTAATATTGAGAACTATATGAGCATGTTTTCCCATTTCTTTCCAAAGGGAAAAACTTTTGATGTCATCTGGAAACGAGTTCAAAATTGTCCATCTGTAAGTATAATTTGTGTGTTTGGGAAGGTTCTTTGTGGCCAGAATCTGTCCTTTCACTATTCTCAATATAAAAATGTTATTACTGATAGTTTGATGTTCCAGTTGTGATGGAATTTAGATAAGCTCCTCTTAATAGATTATAGATTATAAGTGGGTGTTCCATCACTGTTGGTTTTTAAGAAGAGATTGGAGAGCCATTTGTCTGGAATGGTATAGGGTGCTTGAGGAGAGGACTGGACTAGGAGCCCTCCAATGTCTTTTCCAACTCTGTTATTCTGTTTATAAAAGTACTTCAGTTCAAAAAGTGCGCAGCATACTAAATTGTTGCAAAGAACATTCTGTGGGAACATCAGGGGCAGATAAAAAGTTTCTGAGGCTTAGCAGGAAATGAGGAAATGAACATTTAAGATGTGTCATTTTCCAGAACTAGTCTAAAATGAGTGCTCATTTGTCTTCCTGAGTCTTGTGTTTTACTCAATTTGACTTGGATTTCAATAGACCAATTTTAATTCCCATCCATTTTCAATCCAGTTTCTTTATGCGCTGCCAAGGAAGGATGGGTATGAATTTTTTGTTGGACAGTGGTCAGGAACAGAACTTCATTTCACTTCTCTGATAAACATTCAGGTAGGTGGAGGTTTTTTTTTCCTAAACATTCATTTCCAGGGGCAGTCTGAGGAATTAAGAAAGGAGGAAGAATTCTCCACACACACACCCCCAAAAAATCTGTATATGTCACTGCTTTAAACCCACTCCTTAAAACAAGAATTATTTCAAGTGGGCACTGATAGAGATGTCTGGATCTTTAAGGGAAATTGAATTGTTTTTGAGCTCTCTGGTATATTTCTCTTGTGCAGGGTTTTTAAATTGCAGAAGATGAATTTTATTCAAGACTTTGGTCATTTATTTGGTCTTACTGTGAGATGCATAAAACAGACAATTCTCCAATGCTTGATTCAAATGGGCACAGTGCTCCCAATCAATTAAGCCTTGACAGTTCTTTTTATAGTAAAATTATTTAGTGGAAGTGGATATGTTTTTTTATATATATAATTTTTTTTATTACATAGACAACACATACACACAACAATGAAAAAACAAAAACAAAAAAGAGAAGAAAGAAAAACACAAAAAAGAAAAAAAAACCATCATCACATACAGCATGTCATTTGGTTACATTTATCATTCTTATACATTTATTATTTCAGTTAATAGGTTATAATTTAGTATCAGTTCTTATTCCCTTACCTGTGCTAATCTATCCTACATTTCCCCCCCCCCCACAAACTTTGTATCTCTCTGTTATATATATATTTAATACACACAACAATAATAAAAAAACACACAAAATGAGAGAAAAAAACACAAAAAGAAAAAAAACATCACATACAGCATGTCATTTGGTTACATTTATCATTCTTATACATTTATTATTTCAGTTAATAGGTTATAATTTAGTATCAGTTCTTATTCCCTTACCTGTGCTAATCTATCCTACATTTCCCCCCCCCCCACAAACTTTGTATCTCTCTGTTATATATATATTTAATACACACAACAATAATAAAAAAACACACAAAATGAGAGAAAAAAACAC